GCATTTAGATACTTAGCCTTTAATGTGCACCGATTCAGTGTAATGCTAATGTAAGCGATCGAATTTACTATTAAAATCGAACGATCGTATTTAGTCCTAAATATGAAAATATGCAGATATCTTTAAAGAGATTAGTTGCGTGAAATTTCCTTTTATACGAATTTCCTTATTACCTCTCTGTACTTGCGTCTAATAATTATTTGATTTAATACAACGCGGAAATCTTTGAACGAATGCCAGATGACAAATAAACTGCACATAGGTGCGACATAATTCTCGAAGCTCTCATATGTTGACACGTGAGTTAACTTGTTTTCCCGTCATTTTTACATTGTATACCCCGGCTTTTCGCACATCTCCGAAAATGTATTAAGCGCCGCTGTAATAGCAGAGGCGTTCTGATACATGGCGAAACGTTGCCAAACTACAATAACGTATGTGACACGGTTGCTCAATCCGTCGACGTGGCAGGTGCGCGTAAATTAGTGAGCCACCCAGCTTGCGACACGCGGTACATAAATTTGATGATATCATAGCGCCAACGACAACAAAAAAAAAAAAGAAGAAAGTTTCTCGCCCCTATGACATCCTCATTAGAAGAAACGCGTCGAGAAGTCACCTTCCCGTCTCTTTGGATCCCAGAATTTGTGATTCCACAAAATATCCACGAATCGATTGGACATAGTTAATTTAATAAGAGACGCACGCGGGGTTTACGAGCCGCGATGTGGCGGCGCATCGGCAGCTGCAGTTGCAGCTCTCGAGATTTAAAAGCCGCTTTGCAACCACCCTCCCTTACTCCCCCCCCCCATTCTCCCACCCACTCGTTCGCGTTCCGCAGCAACTCTTTCTCGTTTCGTCTGTCTGTTGTACGGTCCATGGGCAGCGTCGTTCACGGCGCAAGCCGGCCGACTTAATGTTGTTTTAATTAAGTAGGCGGTTAGCCGAAAAGAATGTCGAGTCGGTACTTTCGGTCTCGTCGACTTCCACTCTGTACGCTCCGGCTACCTTCTCTCTCTCTCTCTCTCTCTCTCTCTCTCTCTCTCTCTCTCTCTCTCTCTCTCTCTCTCTATTTCGAGAGGTGCCGCGTAACTCAAGTCGCATGTGTTCCTCGTATGTTCAGACGCGATGGACGATTTCGCTTGACTAATCGCCGTCTTTTTAACCCCCTCTACGACGTGAAAGAAAAGGAAGACACGTCGTGTAAAATGTTCTCGTGTTTATCTACGACGGGCTTGGATCAACCGTCGAGCACGACGGTCAACGGTCGCATCGACGTTTGAAGAGACCGCTCTAAATGCCAAAAATAAGATGTGTTGCCCGATTTAAGATTGTTAAAAGGATGAACTTGCTTATCTTGATTTGCGGATTTCTCGAGACCTTGGCTGCTATCTCTAAGACAGGATCTCGATATTCTAATTTTAGAACCATGGCATTTAACCTATTTTACTCCATTTTATTTCTCTTTCGAGATTTTGCATGTGTTCAAACAAAAATTTTAGGTAATTTAGTTTCTCTCTGGACAATATTTACTTAAGAAACACATAATGAATATTAATTTTATAAGTGATTTCTTTGCATGTGTGTGAACGAGTTTATACCACTTTTTTAAATGCTGTAATATTTATACTACTTTTTAAATATTTGTTATCCACATACTGTGGATTTTATTTTAAGGACGTTTTTACAGTTTCTTTTTGTCAGATTTAATTTCTTTTAATTAAAACAAAATTATTTACCAAAAATATGAACATAGAAACTAATAATACTTATTGAAACAAAGAAAGTTTGATTAATTATACATATTTATATTCTATAGATGTGCAAGTTGGATAATGATAATATTAAAACACGAATTTAATTATTCTCGAGAAAACATAATTTAATTCTATATAGGATATAAAAGTGCATCGCGGAAGAGACGGTGTTAAGATTAAGACAAAACCAATTTTCTGATGATGTAGGCTATTAACGAGGTTAATGAGCGATGTTAAATCGTGACCAGCTACTTTCGCCACAGGAACGTGTTTATATATAACATACGTCTAGATATATTATTAACCGACGCCGTCACGTATCTTTTAACGCGTAATACATAGGCTGATCTGCCTGTATTTTCAAGTTAAGTAATTTCTAAATAGTCAAACAAATTAAAAAATTTTATTTATTCAGGAATAGTCACTTAAGGTGTAGGTTTCTAAATTTTTTTTTAGAAAATATTAAATAAATCGATACATATATACAATGATCTCATACTAATTAAAGTTATACATAGGACAATCAATAATATACATTATGTAACTAATGTGATAGTGACTTTTAATTGGGATGTACAAATCATTCCGGGTAATTGTTCACGAGATAAAAAAAATTAGACGACTATTTCAAGTTAATAAGGAAAAAGCGTCGCCTTATTATGAATTCTATTAATAAAATAAAGCGCAAAATATTTTTGCAAATTCTCACGGCTCTCCATTTTTCGTACATGCAAGAGGAGCTAAAGAATGGTCGGAGTGCCATGGCTGCATCATACACAGCCGCTTCAGCAGACCGTAAAATTGGCGTGTAAAAATGTATAAATATGGTACGCCGGCCAGTACACAAAAGCGCGCGTATTATCATCGGAATTAACCTAGTGTTCGACTGAAACACTTCTTCTTTGCAAGCACAAAGCAACGAAACCCTTTGTATCGAAAAAAGGATCCACCCTTCGTGCTAAATTGCGCTTGCCCGGCATTATATCGTAAATTATACACGCCGAGTTATTTAAAGGAATCCGGGACAGGAACGCGCGGGGATAAAGTTCTAATTATGATTTCTTCAAATTGCTAATAAGTGGTAATATACGAAATGACCCACGATCGAGAAGAAAACGTGCGATTTATATACAGACGTCATTTTGAAATCCATTGTCGTCGCGAAATGTGCTAAAGTTCTATTTTTAAACTCTAATGATTTTGATCGATATTTTACTTAATATTTAAAAAAATGCTAACAAAAATTAAATTGTATGTTTTGGAGCATATCTCTTTTTATTTTCCGCTTCATTTATTCGATTTTCATTTGCTTTTTGAAATCTCAATTAACGTTATGAAATTTTATGCAGATAATATAATAGTGTCCATAACAGTTTTATCTGTTTATCAATCGTAACAGTTATACATATAAATTTTTGGCACGATTAATAATTTTTTGCAGTTTCTTCAATATTATTTCGTGTGTTGCAAATTCGCGCCGAAGCATTTGGAAAGTAGTAATTTCGCCGGATCGTCGCCGAGGCAGGTGGTTAAACTTATTGTCAGGAAGGAACCTTCGCTACGATTTTGCGGTAATAGCCGCCCGAACAGGACAACAGAACTCCGTTCTGCATTCGTGCCAGACAATTATAAATCGCATCTCATCACCTTTCCTCGCCTGTTTCGCCGAGATTTTTATCGGCCCCGCAATCGCGCCGGCTCTCATCCGTGACCGCTTTAATCACATTTTAACTGTGCCGAGAAGCGTCCGTGATTACTATGTACACGTCCGAAGAGGCACAGTTATACTCTCGAAGCTCGATATGCATTCTGCTGCACATGCCATCAAATAATACGACACGACGATTTGCGCGTTGCGCAAAAAAGTCGGAAGATATGAATGATTTGCAAAATTTTGTCATTGCTTCATTACTGACGTATGATTTTCACATTTCGCGTATTATCAGCTTGTGTATGAATAATGCGTACGCAAATATTAATAGGCTCATCCTAATTGATAATAAAAATGAAGAAATCTTTTTTTTAAATTACTTGTATATGTTTAAAGAAGTAAATTGTTAATCTAGTATTTTTAATATGCAATTCACATTCCTTTACATCGATAAGATTATATAATGCAAATTAGTAAACAGACACGATATTTTCGAGAATCTAATAACACCTCTGGCGAAAATTTTTCTTAGAATTATTTATATAATTTAAAAAATTTTTTAATAATTTTTATAAATTTTTATAAATTTCAAAATTTGTCAGAATTTCTCTATAATATTATTTCTTAGATTTTTTAATATATATTTTAGAACATTTTTTTTAAATATTGAAAGTCAACATCTTTTCTATAGAATTTGATATACATATGAATTCTAAAATATTGTAAGATTTTTCATTTTATAATAATTCCGAAAAAAAACTCATAAAATTTGAAGAAACTCTTAAACTTGAAAAGTATCTTAATACTTTTATTAAGGGTAAGAACTTTTAAGTATGAAAAATTCTTAAAAATATTATGAGAGACTATAACAATTTTTTTACCAAAGATAAATATAATGTAGTTGTTATAAAGTAATGTTGTGATTTTTGCACGATGTTGCATTTATTAAATGCAAATTATAAATACTGAGACAATGTCGCCATCATACGCGGATTCCAAGAACAAGAAGTGAATTAACTGCATAAAATTAACAATCGATAAAATGATTCTTAATTTGACTTTTCCACATAAAAGAGCGTATTGACAAAATTTTTAATAATCATAGAAATTTTATTTTTAAATTTGCTTTATATTACTATAATGCATGATGACATTATCAGACACAATGTATTGCCACTGTCGGTAATATCGCGATGTCTATTTTATCTCTAACGCGAAAAGAAAATTATATCCTATGAGTTGACTACTCGACGGATAATAACTCGATGGGAATGAGGACAATAATTCGAAGACGAAAAAAATCGTTTGTAATTATCTTCTATCTTAAACAACTATTACAAGCTAAATAGAACACATATATTTTTGCAGTAATGCAGATTGGAGTAAAGTTGTAATCTCTCAGGAAATACTGTACATACCTATCATTTACAGAAAAGCACATGAAAATAATATCTGAAGAAAATGATATATCCAAAGAAAAGAGAGAATAAGAAAAGAATATAATTACAATTTTACTAAAATAACAGGGTACACTTGTGATTATCACGAAATCCCGTAATTAAAGAAAGACACGATATCTTCACAATGTTTATTTATTCGAATTGCATTCCAGTGACACGTTGAATCCAATTTGCAAATGCTGCTACTCTAGTATACACCCCCGGTCTATCGCTTGGACAATTTGCGTCTCCGTAGCTAACGATACCAATTTGTAACGGTTGATCATCCTTTATTACAAAAAGAGGACCTCCGCTATCACCCTAAGACATATCGTATTAGAATAAAATGTTTAACGAATAACCAACTGCGAAGAATTTCAACTTATTCTTAAATTTGAGTAAATATATGTTTAAATTTTCTTTTTTTTTTGTGAAATTATATTATTATTGTATTATTATTATTGTTTATTTCCTTTTTCATTACTAAATTTGTTACCTGACACGCGTTTTTCCCAAGTCCTGGTTTCGTGCATATATTTCTGTGATCCACTCTCCAGTACGAGACACACTCCCGTTTTGAAATTAACGGCATTAGAGCATACATAAGTTTCTTGGTTCCTTTGGGACCGTATCCATCGCGACCCCATCCAACGACATAGGCCATCGTATCGGCCATAACTTTACCATCCTTCAGACCAGCCAGATGTATCGGTTGAATTTTTTCTAACAATTAAAATTTCGTTGAACCGCAAAAAATTATAATTCTATGATTAATTTTATCTTTTATATCTCTAAAGTTCTTTATTAAGAATTGCTATAAAGCCACGCGTTCTCCATCGACGAATATTTGTTACCTGAAAAAGGAATGTCTTGCGGCAGGTGTAACAATCCGATATCGTTCTTGCTGAAGAAATAGTATGGATGTACGTGAGCCCGTGTCGTCATCATCGAGACTCCAGGTCCCCGATTTACGTTGTAACCGATCCCGGTCTTATCAATGATTCCAAGTATGACGAAAAATCTTTGTGGGTACTTGGCGATGCAGTGCCCTGCGGTCAGCACCCATCTTTTCGAAATGATGGTACCGCCGCACTGAGCGACTCTCTTACCATCGATCAACCGATGCACTACGGCCATGAACGGAAATTGACCTTCATTCGCGTAACTTCCACCGACTATCCTCTCCATTTCTTTTGGCTTTTTCATGACAAAAAAATATTCACAGAAAACAGTGGACTCTCTCAAGAAAAAGATATAAATGAAAATAAAAATGTATACTGATGTATAAATATAAAAACGCGTAAGTTTACCCAGACAATATGCACGTCATAAAGCCGTTCTAGGATACAAATATATAATATCTATAATAGCATTGATAAAAAATACATTACATGATAAACCATTTACAAATCGAATATTATTGAAAGTATATACAAGTACTCGAAATTTTGCTTATTATATTAGTTATTATTTGACTTTTTAACAGAACAAAATGATAATATCATTTTTTACTACCGAATTCTTTAATTATTAGGAACATGTTTGTACTCACTGTTCGATACGGATAGCTGTTTATTGATCGTGATGGTACCATTATTAAAATCAATAATGATCCTTTTGTTATGAAATTTGAAATGAGGCTGTTGTTGAGCATTTCTACGCGACACTGAAACAATCAGGAAAAATACGAAAGCCTTTGCACTCCACGAATTCATAGCGGACTAACGAAAAGTTTTGCGTCTCACTGCTATTTATGATTTAGTCAGTCAAGTATAACACAGATTGGAGAAACTATTTGCACGAGGTGGAACAAGTACGTTAGCCCTATAACACTGCTTTATTTCTCTCTTTGTCATAGATCATAAAATTAATCGATTATTATCACCGACTCCTATATCTTTTACTTTTCTTTTTGTCAAACTTATCATCGGTATATGTGAATTATTACTGTTTAAATATTTTTAAATTTTGTCGAAGTTGTACTCTAATAAAATATGATATTACATTTATAATTGCAATATTATATTGTAAATAATAATGCATTTAATAATGGAATTCTCTTATTTGTGTTTGAGCACTTTTTGCTCCATTTCAAAATATATTATTTTTTTAATCAAATATATATGTTTATTTAATCCATTATATAAAAGCAACGATATAGCTTTGGTTAAACAGTTCTTTTTACTGCGTTCTTTCAGTGACAAATTAAACATTATTGCGTACAACAGTTATCGTTCCGATTGCAAATTTGCGCGGCAAGTTAGCGCGTCGCCCGGAGAGAAGGTGTCGTCATTTCTATTAACTTCAACTGTTGCATCGAATTGATTGACAATCATTCTATTGCGCTGTTTGACGGTTCCGCGATTTCTAGTCGAGCGGCCGTTGCACTCTGATTGAAACGCGCTCAAAGCTGCGTAATGACTCGAGAGTATTTTTGCACGCACGGACAGTCTACGCGACATAACGCGTGTCGTGATGCGTAATGCTATGATTCATCATTTATCGTTCCAAGATCCTCACGCTATGAAGCTGAGTTGTGGATCGGACGTATTCGTCCACGACGTCCACTGTAGTTCGATTTCGCGTGCCGTTAAATCGCACGATTGATCGTGCCGATCCTTCTTTTCCCCCGCAAATAACGTGTTACGCAACATCGTCAGTTCTCGCTTTCTTGACGGAGTTCGAAGTTGGCCTAAAAAACATACAAAATAAATGAATCTTTTTGCGGATTACTTTCCATTTTAGTACATCTATTAACACACATAATATATGTAATTCTATTATATTTATTAAACGAACAGGAAGTAATTTACTCGAATAACTTCCGAGGAACTTTGTTCCGAATTCCGAGAACGTTTCGAGGAATTTGTGCAATGTAATGTTGCGTAATATATTGTAGCAAGAGGTGTTTCAAGTTGCGTAAAAAGTCAAACTAAAAATTGATTATGTAACATCTCCCGTAAAATTTTAATTCTAATTTCAATTCTATCTTACCAAATACTCAGTTTAATCTTACTGAATGTGATTTTGTTATTAATTATATCGAATTCATGTTTATTTTTGGCCATTTCCAACATTACTGGTTATTACAATGGAACTAAATAATAATACTAATCTAATCTGTTTTCTTAGGAATTATGAAAAAAATTCATGGTTTAAGGAAACTTAATTTAAATGACTTTGTAACGTTTCATTTTTAAAATTAATTATTTATATTTTTTATTTATTTAAAAATGAACTTATTTAGATTTATTCCTTTGGCTCTTTCTCTTCTCTTTATGAAAAAGAGAATTGGAAGAGATATATTAATATAATATAATAGACGCGCACAATGGTCAATCAAACAATTAATAATTAATTAATGTTTGCTAAATTAATTTGTAATTGATCTGTCATTCTTTTGTACTTACATCTTCTATATTCAGTTTAGAAAGACACAGATAATTATTTAAAATTTTAAGTATTAATTAATCGATTGTAGACGCGACTTGTAATTTTTTCAATTTTTCTTGTTATCGCACAATGTATTTTATTATATCACAGACTTAATTACCGATGCTCGGTAACGTCAGCGTTCTCTAGTTATCCCGCGGTAATTAATAGATATATTTCGAATTGTGGCTTTTTGCTCTTTCATTAAAGCCATCAAGCTTAAAATTAAAGATTATACTAATTCCATGGTAATTTTGGAAAACCTTTACGAAAATTGAAATAACAGAAGGATAGAAACAGTAGGAGACTAGAAAAGAGAAAGCATGTTTCGTATTTATCAGAGAAAGTGGTTTCTCAAAAAAGACTAGATAACTTTGCAAAGAAAAAAGAAGAATATCGAAAGTTGAAGATCGATGAAAGTTAGCTCTTAGAAACGAGTCAGAATTATATAAAATAAAATTGACACTAATATTATATGTATCGTCTATTTCTACTGAAAAATGAATTGAAAAGTTATAAAGTCTAAATTAATGAATGCTGCTATACTATCAAAATTTTGTAAATTTTTATAAATATAGTCCCGATCCTTTCGCGAAGAAAGAAGTGCAGATATTATGTAATTGTTTTTTAACAGGATTCCATAAATATACAGAATATTTCCATTTAAAGCTGCCTGTTTTTATTATTCAAATAAAATCGGAACACTGCTGATCAACATTGCAAATTGAACAAATCTCTAAATAGACTTTTGTACAAATACGTCAATGGACACGTGATCTGTTTCAGCAGACTCGTGCTAAGATGTTGCACAGAATATTTTTCTTAAGGCCTATATAAATTATTATTAATAATTATCCATTTTTATTACAATTTGTATTGATAATATGCAATATATATTAAATATATAGTTTTTTAATAAAATTTATTACGTATATACTCTACCACGTAGCGTGACGCAGCAAAAATTCTTCAACTCTAAAGAAATTAAACAATGAATTTTACAAAAGGGGGGGTCTACTGACATCCTTTTTCGCAGCGAAATATACGCGGTTGAGATATAACGTCTGCTAGCAGTTGCGCTGGGACGCATGCGCTAGAATGGTCGCACCAGTCATCAGTTCCACTGATGGATCTACGAGGGATTTATGGAGGCCTGGCCCCCTCCTTGGAATCTTTTTTTAAAAACATTTATGCAAAATGTTATAAATATTTTTAATATTTCTGAAATGGTTTAATTACGATTTTCATTCCAAAAATATTTTTTAATCTACGAAACTTGTGTAGGTATAAAAAATATACATAGATTCTATTACATTATTTTTTATGTTAATATAATTTTGAATAAAACATCTTATGAATTATGCATTTAAATAATACTTCTTCAAGGTAATGCCAATAGTAATTTAAATATTCTATCTTTTCATATTGATTACAAAAAAAATGTTGCCTGCGACGCTCCAGTGGCCCCCGCCCTTGACGAATTTCTAGATTCGCCGATGACTAATTCACACTATCACTATCATCCCTTCGCGTTTGCGCGTTCGTTGGCAAACCTGAGCTGAGATCGGACTGATCGTAGCGAGCAGGTCGGAGCAGTCGAAGCAGTCGGAGCGGACAGGAGCGGAGAAGAGATCGTCGAGTCGTTAGCGAGCGGATCGCGGATCACATAACGCATATCATATCCGCACTATCCGCAGTGCACTGTGCATCGGTGAAGCTGGAGCGAGTGGCGATATTACGTACATAATACGCGAACGCTGGCGGTGAACGATATCGCGACTATCGTCAGTATCGTCGTCGTCGTCGTCAAGAGTGCGTTTAGCAGCTGGCCTAGCCCGGTTTCGCGACGGAGATGATCGTCGCTCGCGATAATCGTGACGGAGCGAACGTGACGACGTGCCGGAAACCCACCGTCTCGGCGGGGATGTGAGCGAGAGGAACGCGCTCGCGAGAGCGCCGCGCGGCGTCGTCGTCGTCGTCGTTGACGATCAGCAACCACGACGACCTGGCCGGCTAATCGAGGGGATAAGAGACGCGCGCGTGGCAGTGTTGTTATCGTCGTCCCTAAACGCGGTATATACGAGTGACTCACGTCCGCGGGAGCCCGCGAGTCCGAGGGGGAGCACGATGGCGGATTTCGATGCGATCTACGAGGAGGAGGAGGAACACGAACAGCATCTAGAGGAGCACTACGTCGCGATGGTGCCGGACCCGATCGTGATCCGCGGGGCTGGCAACATGACAGTGTAAGTTTCTTTCGTGGAGCGCCACTTCGAGGGCCGAGCCGCGCGCGTCCGAGAGGTTCTTTGTTGTCTGGAAGGACAGCGGGGAGGGGGGAGGGCAGAATTCGCGATTCCACAAAGAAGAGAAGCGAATAAAGCCACCTGATCTCCTTAATTTCGATGTTCTACTTGTGTTGTTTCGATGTCGCCAGCGACATCGTGTTATCTTTTTCTCAGAAAAAAATGCATATTTAGCTGAACTTGTATAATTAAATTGTTGTTTACCTTGGAGTCGAGTCAGTATTTTTACTTCCGTTTCAAAAAAATTTCAATAAGTTTCATCCAAGTTGCTAAAAAAAAACCATATAAAAAAATGTTATCGATATGTGCGATTTTTCTTTCAGATTCGGTCTCAGTAATCGTTTTGAATCGGAGTTTCCCAACGGCCTCATGTCCCGCGTAGCTCCAGAAGAGTTCAAGGCGACTGTTATGAGAGTGAACAGTGTATTGAAAAAGACTTTACCTGTTAACGTTAAGTGGTTATTCTGCGGTTGTGTATGCTGTTGCTGTACTCTAGGATGTTCTCTGTGGCCTGTCATTTGCTTGAGCAAGAGGGTGCGTATGATTGATTGTAAGAAAGTCCAATTTATAACTCTCTAAATTTTTTGGAATAAAATCTCACTCTAAAGAGTAAAAATTGATACAGTTTTGAAAAAGAGCAGCTCTATTTTTAATCTTTAAGAGTGAGGTGTTACTCTTTAGAGTGAGATACACTTTAAAAGTTTTAAAGAGTAAAGCTTATATAAGCTAACAAGTTAGATAATGTAGTAGTCTTAATTAGATTTTAATATATACGTACAAGACATTAACAAGGATTATCTTTCTAGACTCAGCATTCGTTAAACAAATTATTAGAATGGGAGAATAGTAGGCTCTACCACAAACTCGGTTTACATTGGAGACTGGCAAAACAAAGATGCGACAGCTCCTCCATGATGGAATATGTAAGGCACTTTGAAATTATTAGAGTTTTCGGAAAATATTAATAATTCTTATTTTATAATGATATTGATTTCGATTTTCTTGACATTACAGGTTCTTTTGATTGAATTTATTCCAAAGATTCCAATCTATAGGCCCGACTAAGCAATGGGCAATCGTGCAATTAATAATACGTACAATGCAAATAATCAGCAATGTGCAACTGACATGCAGAGAAATACAGAGAAGATAAAGTGCCGCTACGATGATATAGGTACTTTTCTGGTACTTATATAATGCATATTTTTGTAAATATTCTGGGTAGGAATGCACAGTACAATAATTCGACGTAACAGAGAATAGATCACGTTTTGATGGCAGAAAGAAAAAAGCAACTGTTAATTCTTTACAATTAATTTAAACTAAAATAATATTGCAAACAAATCGAATGATTATTTTCTCAGAGATATTCATTATATATGTTTGGAATAGATACGATCATAGATCATTTTCTATTTTAAATATTTTTGCGCTGAAAAAACTACTCGACAGCTTTATTTGTTAGTTTATTCAGTAATTGCAAGAATAATCCCATCGTTTTTTTATCCGAGTTCCTTGTAACATTTGGTAATCTGTACTCGTCAACTAGAATTTAAGCCTTCAGGTAAGAAATTAATCTGATTCAGTACAACGAATTTATTAAAGTACGGATAATAACGTCAAAATGAGTCACGCTAATCAGTCTGTCTAATCGTGCATAATGCTACATGCACACGCACTCATGTTGTACATACATATATGTACATACATAAAAACTTATTTTAACTATAGGTTAATTTCTTACCACCGTGATATTAGAAAGTATGAAATGTAAAGCGCAACTTTACTTTCTGATACAAATTTCACAAAATATTTTAACACGAATAAATTATTCGAAATGAAGAAGCATACGTTGTCAGGCGCGATTAAGAGATATCGATATAGATTTTAGAAGAAATATAGATAGCAATCGCTGATAAATGTAAAATATATACCGATGAGATGAAATTTTAATTGCAAAACGCATCAGTCTATAATAGGGCAAACAGTACGGAACTATAGAATAGCGCAATTATTGGGCACAGAAGAACATAAGGAAATATTGTTGAAAACTGCCATGAACGAGCTCATTAATTCTTGCTTTTTAATGAAAAAATCAACGTTATCACTTTTTATGCATATGCTGTCGCATAATTTTATGTGTCCAATCGCATGACCTTTAGAAGGAATGATTAACACTTAGCGCATGGACATTTCTGTCACATATCCGTTTTAAGCTAATGTTAAACTAATCTTAAGAAGATTGATGAAATTGTTTATTAATAAATTTTAATTTTATGGATAATAATACATTTTAATTTACTTAAGTGTGGCACACTGCTATCACAGTACTGTTTACTCTATTCTTGTTAATATATATACATATATAATATACTGTTTCTCAAATAAAACAGGGATAGGATTACCAAAATATCAGAACAACGTCTCCCATGTAAAGGAACTTTGTTGTGTAGGCACTATTTTACATTGCAGTTTAATATGGTTCCGCACAGATATTTCTCTACTAACAACTTGTCTAATATGTGATAATGCGGTTGCTACCAGCTCCGCATTGCTTTCGCACTAAAGAAAAAAAAATCAAGCAAATTTACTCATCACCAGGCGCCCACAAAACATAAAATGGTTGTAGAAAAATATGCAAAAATATGTGAAAATACTGCAAGTGTTTCTGTTGCTGTTCAGTGGCTGTGATTGAGAACAAAAGACTAGTTTTGAATTTGAATGTGTATCGCAAACAGCTACACATAACGCCCGTGCTTTATCTTATGCGGTTCTACACGTTAAAGCCTTTTATAGAATATCAGATTTACTCTGTTTCTCTAATATTTGTACTTATTCTGTAGAATAATTAAGTCGAAGTAACAAGCGTTTTGCATTAAAAGTGTCTGTGTCATATAGATTAATAAGAATGCTCTATTGCCATATCTGATTTCAATCATACATACCGTAGGTATAATCCATCTATCATTAATATTTTTTAAAAATAAAGCAATCAGAGCTATTTATATAGATTCTCATTTCACTTGAGGAAAATATTACGGAACGATTATACTCTTAATGATCTGTTGAATAGTTGATAATATGTCAAATAATAAGCGATCATAAAAATCATATTATCATATTTTCAGACACGTGTGTACGAATGAATTGTTATACGATTATTATTTTTCCGATAACTCTACAGCGGGCAGAAGTGTCGATATTTCTGTACTGAATGTCCTTCTAATCGATCCATTGAACAAATATTAAATTATATATAGAAATCGATATACTGTGTAATGGAACCATTGCATATGTGCTTTCTAAACTGAATATCGCAATCCTCTTGGTAGCGTATAATAAAATAAGGGCTGTGTTAAATTGGTCAAAGTGAGAGACGCATAATATGGTTCTAAACTATGCTTAAAAACAATTCTCGTATATTTCTAAAAATGAAGATTACTTAACGTATCGACGAATAGAGGCAATTTTATTCCGTTTGCTCGCATTTTCTTAAATACTAAATACGGTCTAATTATACTTTCTTGAAATTACACCAAATATCAGAAAAATGCATGTAACGTTAACGCTCAGTTTGAAAGTAATATAATTACGTATACACACTTAGTTCATTACTTTATTAATACTTTAGTGTACAATTATTAAGGCCACGCGCGTATACTAAAAAATTAATTAAATCTCTATATGGCTTATATATGTATACATATATTATCTACGCAAATATTTACATGATCTTTCCTTCGCATGGACTATGAACTATGTGCACTCGGTAAAAGAAAAACTAAGGAATTGTTTTCCATCGGTGTTTTATTACTCTGCACATGTGAATATTTTTAGATATATCACAATACAAAAAAATAATAACATAAATCATGGTAATTACAATGTACAAGGAAATAATTATAAAAACTAAATGCTTATTTCAGATACAAATAAATTTTCTGTATAGATAATAAGCTATCTAGATTACAACACATAACGACACATAATTTATATATAGTTTGCATAGTACATGTAGATATATATAAATGAATAATGTTTTTATGCGCAGCTTTCCTTGGATATTTGGTTTAATGATAAAACTCACCTCGGAAATCATGCATTTTAAACAAGTACACTTCTATAGTCTAAGATTATTTTTCAGTTCACGTGTTGTTTTGCAGAGAAGCTCAACTAATATCATGCATGTTGAATGTATGAATGAAAATATCAAGCATTACTCGATAAAAAACTCTTCGAGTTGCTCATATCATTCAATGTATCGCATACTTTCATGGAATGTCCTTCTATAAATATATAAACATATATTTATACTTTTGAGTTATAAAAACAAACATACATATATCGCAAGGAGGCCAATTATCCGAAATTGATTTACTTTTTAAATCTTTCATTTATTATTACTTGAAGGATCGAATATATCACTTTAAGGAGCGAAAATATTTTTTCGGTAACACGGTTTTGTGTGTGAATTTAGATATTGACATTAAAGCGTAAGGGTATAATAGTAATGTAAATAGGATGATGAATTTGCAAGGAAATGTATAGTGAATCGAGGTTTATAATATCGATGATTATATTGCGAAAGATCAGGGGAAAGGAATATATTTTTGATAGAAAAGAAATGTAAGCGTAATGATTATCAGGAAATTTGAATATAAAATTTGGTGTTGAATTTATGTTCTAGATTGAATATTTTTTTTATGCAAATTGCGTATATCACGAAGATATCGAGAAAGATATTGACATAATAGATTAATCGATACGAATAAATTATATAACATCGCATATCATATCACACGTTACATTAAACTAAATATGTTAGTTACATTAGATGTAACTTGCCAAAGCATTTATTTACCTAACATTTTAAAGTTGAAGTCAATAGACAAATTGTAGTTGCAATGCATCCTTGGCGTAAAAGTGATTAATAGTAAAATTATTATCAGGCTATCGTGGTTTCAACATGTGCCTTTTACTCGTGAATTTGTGTGAATCATGTAAATGTAAATATTATATGTTAATAATATATGTTAAGAAATATATTTGTATAGAATGAGAGTGGTTCCTATATATAAATATATATTGCGCATAAATAAAATAACTACTTGCAAGCTCGCGATATCGTTGCACAAGATTACATGACGGATCGAAATAGCATATCATCAATTCGCAATGGATAGAAAAGCTTTCAGAGCATCATAATATTGAGGTGCAGAAATGTTAGATATGACGTAATGAAATATTCGTAAATATCGTTTCGTAAAAAGCTTTTTGATTAACAGTCGATATAACGTGATTTATTATATGACGACTAATTGTTTTCCGCTATGATTATCTTTTATACACATCGTTTGTTAGCCATGTAAATTTGTGTAACTGTGTTAACTGTCTTTCAGTTTGAAAATAAAATGTACGATTGTATAATAGCTGAATATATTTCAAGCTTATTGAATTCCTTTTAATTGATATTCTTTAGCGACTGCAAATTAATTCTAATTTTCAATGTAATCGCGGGTGTAAGCTTTTATTACCCAGATTAAACTTTAACTGGAATTTTATACATACATGCATATATATGCATGTATATATTAATTTCGATGTTAATGTCCTCCCAGTGGAGCAACATCCAAGCAAACTGCTTACTTCGAAATTCGAATACGTCATGTTATGATAATCGACAACAGATGCTCTGCAGCTTCTAATTAAAGAAGACCATTGTTAGTCGTATCTGTGCTACAGGACAGATAATTCTTCTTCGAAAGTGTTCGCAGTGTCAAAGAAGACACGAATTTAAATTCTCGATTGTTGTGCGCTCGGTGCAAGATGATTTTGATACGTAATAAAAGTATCCGTGCGTTGATATTCATCGCGAGTATCCTGTCAGTGAATTCTAATGAGCTCTTCTCAGCTTACAATGTTTCCCCCAGGTAAAAATGTTCGATGATATTATCTTCGAGTCTTCGAGTCTCTATTTTACGTTTTAAAGTAGTTGAGTTTCAAAACTTAGAAATAAAGTAAGTATATATACATAATAAGAAGGATTTTTCTGAAGTATTAACAAATTTAGCTGGATCTGAAAATAATTTTGTTGAACCTTCATAATTATGTAGGACCCAAAGTGGTTGTTAGAATGTCAAAACTTTTTGCGATATATATTTTTTTATTATATAATTTATACTATATGATAAGTTTTATTAATTTTTTATGCGCACGTTGAATTATTGCAAATCCTATATCTTTTAAAATTTCAGAGTCGTTCCGAAGTGTCCCTTGCCAATAACAGTTTTGGATTTCATTCGCAATACTAGTCAGCTTGATTTAGAAACTAAATGGCCCTGCGAAGTACGCTCGTACTGGCTGTCTTTAAAACCATTCGTCAAATCCGTCCGTTTCTTGCTCCGCTATGTAACGCCATTTATTATAATACTTGGTAAGAAACATCGCGATGCGCACCTTACAATTCTCAACTGTTCTCATACAACGTTGTGACCCACTTTATATAGGTGTATTGCTAAATGCTGTATCTTTTAGTATGTTGAGCGCACCTGTGCTATGTGACTCCAATTTGTCACTTTATCTAAGCGCGCTCGCTATATCGGACAATGGAGCGTTAATATTCAATTACGCCGTCAGCGTCGCAAAATCACACTCCACGTCCGTTAACAATCTTTTTATGGTAAATATCCTGTGTTTGATTAATTTTCTCTTGTTGCATAGTTATCGGTCCTCTTGCCACAAGAAATTTGTCACATTCAGACGGAACAAAATCAATTTGGTTGGCTCTGGTTAATAAAGATAACTATAATTTCAATTTGTTCTTCAAACTGTTCCTTTCAATTGTATCAAGGTCTTCCTCAATTAATAGCCCTGAATAAATCTCAACGTCGACTGAGGAAGAGACTTTAGTAAAGGTCGAAATCTGAGGAAGTCTATTGTATGTACGATGATACCAACCGAAAGGAATTGTTTGAAAAAAAAAAGACTATTATTTCATCGACGCCTTAAATTCGATTGATCATTGACGTCTTGAAATTTAAATTATATATTAACGGTTTATTTTTATTGCTGCACTGGACTGCACTTTCTTTCGCTTTTACCAAATATCAAACATTTATTTTACTTTAAATGCCAAGTGTGAGCACTAGTTCAGCTATAAAAATAGATATTGTTAACATGTAGGTTGTCATGGTGATTATCTGACTGACACTTGATTTTTGAAATGACCTATTACTTACAAACGCTATTAATACATGTTATTCTGTTTTCATTTTTTTTTTTTTTTAACAAATGCTTTTCAACACATTAGTGATATTAATATTTTATGAGAATATTCTCTTATTTCGTATTACGCAATGTTTTATCGTTATATGTTTATTTGTTTATTAATAATAAAAATTCTGTGTATATGATGAAACAAAAAAAAAACAAAATTCCTGGGCGTATAAATTCATTTCAACATCTCGATAAATTTTGGAATGTTAAGAAGAAAGTGGATTACGAGGGAATCAAACTTTTACGCTCAGGATCATTTTCTTACAGAACAGCAAATTTTTATGCGGCGCGAATTCCGTGAGCATGGAACTTTTTCAATTTACGTCGACCTGGCTGATTGTCGCTCTCACATGGACGCGTGCCATCGCCGTGATGTTTCCATTCGGAGCTCGCGATCAGACTCGCTCCGCGATTACAATTATCACCAGCCTAGTCTGCATAAGCTTCATAATATCCTTAACAAAGCTGTACTCTGGCGGTAAAGCGTCCCATATCACCTTTCCCCTTTGCGAGTCAATTGCGTCACTTACGATTATATGTGATTGTTCTCTTCTCGTCAATGAATGCTGACTTACGCTGATTGTAGGATACGAAACTGACAGCGTTTTCGAATTTGTACCGTGCCAGAAGATGAAGCCATGGGGCAACGCCATGTACTTTTACATCGCTCTGTCCACGTGGCTGCCCTTGCTTTTTATATCGATCGGCAATCTGCTACTGATCGTTCGTATGAGGAGGTCTTATAAGATTCACAACGAATTAACTCGTAAGTCTTCGCCGCGATTGTTGATCACGACGTCATCGTACGAGAAGATTTAACAGCGACCTTCGCCTCAGATAATTTTAGGTACAGAAGCAACAGAACAAACAATTCAAGTAGAACGTTGCTCGCGGTATCGATAGTACATTTGATCTTGTTGCTGCCATTGGGAATTGTTGAAACGTTGGAACTTTATTGGGACGTGATTTTAATCAAATATCCTAGTAATGCAGGAGAGAACGAGAGATACATACATTGGTAAAATATCTATTGAACAAAATACAGAAATTGACATTTAAAAATGTTTTCTATATTACGCTGTTTCCGAATTATTTCTTGCGGTATTTTTTATGTAATAAATAATGTTATTCATTTTT